TTAATATGCTTTCTGCATCTGCATTTGTGTATTCACAGCAATTTGTTCTTACAGAAAATCAACACTAGAATGAACTGAAAATTATATTTGAATGACATGTTTTTTAGACATAATATCAGGCTGTCAGAATCCCCCAAAACACATCTAAAAAATCTAACAATTGCAGGACAGTTTAAAATGGATCCAGTAATAAAGCATAAACAGAAACCCAAAGTAATTTAAATTTATTCAGAACAGCACAAACCACCATTGCATGGATACAGCCACTTTCACAGCTCCAGAAAGTTCCGTTCTGAAGCAAGATTAGCTAATTCAGTCTGTGGGACAACAGTCAGTTTTTATCACATATAATCTGATAAAATTCTAGTGTTCATTTTCTGGAAAACAAATAGCTGAGAATACACATCAGAGAGACCTTCAAAGTGGAGCTAAGATCACTTTATTAGCCATATACAATTTCCTGCATCAGGAATTTGTCTTTTCTCATACCCCAGCTTGCTCTCCATGAGACACAGACAGGGAGAGAAGCTTGGGGTCAGAGCGCAGGATCAGCCATTATACAGCACCCCTGAAGCAGCTGGGCATTGCACAGGGGCCCAACAAAGTAGGATTCCACTGCCAGCTCCGGGATTTGAACCAGCAACCTTCCAGCCGCATACGCAGAGCCTTAGTCACGGAGCCACCGCTCCGCCCCTAATCTGTGCTGAGAAGCTCACATCCAATAACCTGTGATCTGTATTGTGTTATTGAGAGAAATCAGATAGGATAGTTGTACTCTGCTTATAAGTTTTTGATATGTTTAATGGGAAGTTAATATTGTGACTTTACAATATTGGTCACAAATCCAAAACACAGCATGAAATAATGCATATACGTAATATACTGTAAATAATCATATTTTTGTGTTCTATGAAGATAGACACGCTTAATTGCTTAAATAAGCTTTTTTGAAGAAAAAAAAGGTTTCAATGGAAATTAACAGGTAATGGTTTTGTAAGGGTAAAGACATTAATATGCAGTGCAAAAGGGTCATTAACTGACAAATAAATATTATAATATTAGATGTTATAGTTTTATAATATTAAAATATATCCCCATACTTGCATATACTGTACATATCTTTAGAGACTTTGAAACATTAATGCAAACCCGATACAATTTTAGTGATAAAACCATTTGGCACTAGGTTTTCAGAAGTGTTAAGTGATTTATGCTTACCAGAACAATTCCTTTGAAAAAAATATGTTAGTACCATTTCCAAACACAATTTTGAAAGCAGTCATAGCCAGAGCAAACAAAGTTCACATAATAATTGTTGAATTCCACAATTATTTGTGATCCAAGCACACTGCAGATATAAGTGTTTTATATGTACATGTATAGCTTAAAAACAACTGTTTTAGGACTAATTCAAATTTTAAATGACACCAATAAAATGTACCATTTGATGATCCAGCTACATTCCTTTATAATTAAATATCAAGAGAAGAGGGCAACCAGGTCAGTACTAACCAGTTTCAAAAGGATTTGTTTTGCATAAATGTATATATTACGTTAATATGACAACAGGTGAGATGTGGAATATTCCACAGCTCTAAATAATTTAGAATCTGTAAAAAAAAATAAGTGTGATGTTTATACTCAAACATTACAGTGCTTTTCAACATAATGAGTATTCAAAGTGTTTTATATACACATACAGACACAAAACAAATGCTTAATTTTGTAAGAAATGATTTAGGTCTGTATAATTATCAGTTATAATAAAATGCTTCTTTTTTTCTGCAATACAATTACAACCAAGAACTATGAGTGGAGAATAAGGTGCTTTTAAAGTTATTTGGCCCATTCAACTGTGTTTATAAACTTCACTATGGAGAAACTGGTGCACATACTGTACAGTATTAATGAGGCCATAGGGAAAACATGCCCAAGGACAGCAAGAATCCATATCAGACAGTACTTAAATCGCCTAAGGTGCGGATTTCATTCCTTGTGAATCTTTACTCTTGCATGCCTGGAGACGTGATGCCTTCTAGTGTGTTAATTCACTGTCATGACTGTCCATTGTCTAGTTCGAATGTTCTTGCTCCAAAATGCAGTTTTACAAAGCAGATGTGTAAACATGCTATCTCACTTCACAGGTGCCCATTAAAATGTATTAAATTGATCTATTTTAAGTTTTTTGTGAGATTAAGATAACAAATAAAACTCCTCAAAGAACATCGGTAGTGCATACAAAGAAGCAAATAGTTTACAAAACTGAAATTTTATCAGTCTGATTTTGATATTTAAATATCTTAATGAATTACAAAACTTAAAATTTTAAAAACCATTACACAAATGCACAAATTCAAAACAGCACAATAGTTAAAAATGGCCAAAGAGAAAATTTCAATCTAAGTCTCTAAGAGAGAGCTGGTTTCAAAATACTGTACATCATTGATTTTGAGGATTATGTTGAACATTTCCCTCAACTGTCATATGTCTTCTATTAAAATTTACTGCCAAAGCTTCATTATCTGCCTAGAACAAATAAAGTTTGGTCTTCATCTATGCACTATAATAAAAATGAAGCATGCAAACCTCCAAAACTGTTTTTCTTAACCTTAAGCCAACGGGCATCTTTTCCGTGTATATAAAGTGCCTTGCAACAGTGTTCAGACCCCTGCTGTTTTCACATTTTGTTATTTACAGTAACGACAGTTTGATGAACTGTAGCAATTAATATTTGTTACATACACAACCTATTACACACATCCAAAGCAAAAATTGAAAAGAAAACACAATATGAAGGAGTAAGGGAAAGTCATGATTGCATAAGTATTTAAAATCTTTGCTGTGGCAAATCTTAATTAGGTGCCTTTACAAGCCACAAAATTAGCTGAGTAGTCTCTGTCTTTGTGCATTAATAGTGGCTCACATCATTTCAGAATAAATGCACCTACTGTACTGTATTTCTGCAGGGTCTCTCAGTGAGATAGTGAGTTTTAAGATCTAACCATGAATACCAAGGAGCTTTCAAAACAACTCAGGAGAAGGTACTGTATAAACACATTTCAAAGACCCTTTATATTTCTTAGCGCATGGTAAGGTCTATCATTACAAAGTTAAGGGCATCCAGATATTGCCTAGAATCAGGCTGCCCCTCCAAACTGAGCAGCCTGGTAAGGATTAAACTGGGTAGAGATGCCACTATGAGACCAACAACAGTTGTGAAAGAGTTATAGATTACTGTAAGTTACTTTGATCGGAGAAAATGTAGATGTGTCAGCAATACTCCGGTGGTTATTTCATAAAGGCATTTGTTTTCATTAAAAGGAAAAAAAAAACATGTCAAGTCACCCATGGGACTTCAAACTTAGCACCTAAGAGATACTGCAAATGTGTGGCAAAAGGTTTTGTGGATCCCTTTGGAACATTAAGGTCCCAATCCAAAGGGATCACGTACATCTGAGGCAAACCCACCATAGTACCAATCAATACCACCCTCATTGTCAAGCATGGTGGTTGCAGAACTGTGTCAGAATTTTCATTCTCATCAGCCGGGACTGGGAAGCTTGTCAAGACTGATAGGAGCATAGTTGGAGCAAAGTACTGCTAAATCCTAGAGGTAAATTTGCTTCAGACCCAAAATGAGGTCTAAATGTCATCGTTCAGCAGGATAACGATCCAAGGATAAAATTACACTACAGTGGCTTAAGAATAGGAATGTGAATGTCCTTGAGTGGCCCAGTCAAAGTCCTGACTTGAATCCTATTGAGAGACTTTGGAAAGACTTGAAAACTGGTGTCTAGCAGTTTATTGATCCCTAAACAACCTGAGAAAACCTGAGCAAATCTGCCAAGATGAATGGGCAAAAAGTGCACCAAGACAGTGTGCAAGGTTGGTTGAAACTTTACTTCAGTTTGGCCCTTCAGGTATTAGATTCAATATTGAGTTAAAAATTGTGTATGCATTATTTTACCATTTCAGAAAATAGGACACTGTAGGAAGGATATAAATACTTTTGCAAGAGGTCCTGTAAAATTAAAGAAACCTGATTTCAAACTAGGTGTTGCATGAGAGGTATTTGAAATAATAATAATAATAATTTGGTTTTATTAATTAACTCTAAATATGGTATAATAACAAACAGAAAATCAGCAGATCTAAAATTCAGGAGTGGTCTGTACTCATACAATAAGTCTTTAGGATATACTAGAGCTATAACATTGAGAATCTTAAAACATAAAGTAAATCTTAAACATAATTCAAATTTTGTTGTCAAAGAAACAAAAATAGCCTCATATTTCAAATAGTCTAAATTGCATGCATTTTTTTTAATGTTCCAGCATTACTCCTCACACTTTATGATGTAATCACAACACCAAACAAATAGCACTGATAAACCCTTTGACCTTTTTCAAGTGAAATTGCACAAACATGAACTGAAAATAATAGTTTTTGATGTTATGATTATGCAAAAAGTGTACACATTTTCCTTTGGTTTGCTTTTCTTTTTAATTGCAGAGTACAATAAATTTGAGGACTATAAAACTAAAACATTTACATAAAAAATATGAGAAAATAGTGTTTGTTCAACTATAAAATTACATCTGGTATTTTATGTGTTGTAATGCTTACTCTGTCAAAGGGAAGTAATCTGTGTTCTCTAACAATGTGGTCCTCAGTTTATAGTTAATAAGATTAAACCTTTCTGGGCATAACTACTAAATTCTAGAGAAAATGACAGAATAAAACTCCAAGGTAACAATCAGTTGAGCTATATTAAGGAAGTTTAACAACCTATCATTTCTGTTTATTTCTGAATAGTAAATGTTTTCATTCTTAACTTAAAAATGTATATGGAATGAAAACTAAGGCTCACTGTTTTGTCTAAGCCACATTTCAGACAGTTCAGCCCGCTGATATAGACATGAATCCTAGACACCACTACAACTATGAACAGTTTTTGTATTATGTTACTCCCTGAATGAAATCAAATTGATGGTCTTGGAAATGTTCAATGCAATATTTGTTCCTTGTTTTTTATTTTTGTATCAAAGTATCACATATTAATTGTAATTATGTTCAGGTAATGTTTACAGTAGATATTTTGTACCACATGCATAAAGCATTTGTAATATTTTCTGTTCTTTGGAGAAACAAAACACATACTATAGTGCATAAATCGACAATAATTTCATTGAATCATCTTTTCCAGATACCAATCACAAGAAACAATAATTTAGAGTTATACAGTAAAGTATTAAACAATTTTGAATTTGACATTCAATGTCTAAATAGTGCATAAGGAGCTACAATATAAAGCTGATTAAACCAGCTACCATTACACCAGCTAATGGTGCTTCCCATGCTAAAAGACGCGCAAATTCTGTTGCTGAAGTGCAAATTGTATCTCAATAATACAAGGTCTCCAACCAGACACAGAAAAGGTGGGTCTATATAAAGACAGTCATATTTCCTTCCTATACAACTACAGTATAAATATTGCTCATTTTAAACTGTATGCCTTGTTCCTAGTACTTTCCTGTATGAGCAGACAATTTAAAAAAAGAGCTCTTCCAAAATAAAAACAAAATGTACAAATCAAAAAGGACACATTTTCAACTGAACCACATCAGAAAAAAATACCCAAAGCTGCAAGACACCTCATTTCCGAAGTCTCCATTTTAAGGTGCACAACATCTTGCAGTGCTTCTTTCCAGTGCATACAGTAGAGCCCACCTATTACATCTATCTCATTTTCCATCATTCACATTTGTTGTGGTGCTCATCTTCTGAAAAACAATTAAAAAAATGTATTTATCTAAAGCCTTTTTTAAGACTTTCAAGGCTTAATACTGTAACGAACTTTAAAAAATCAAATGTTCCATTCTGTATTAGAATTACTGAACATTAGGGCACTGATGTCTAGGAGAACTAGGTAGTCTGAAGACGAGAGCCTTCAATAAAAGGAGAGAACAATAAAAAAATAGGTATTTATCTAAAGCCTTTTTTAAGACTTTCAAGGCTTAATACTGTAAATAAAATGTTTCATTCTGTATAAGAATTACTGTACATTAGGAAACTGATGTTTAGGAGAACTAGGCAGTCTGAAGAGGCAAGACCAGAAGAGGAAGCCACTGCTGAGGCACACATAAGGTATGAGTTTAACATCCTTGCTCTAAAGTCTCTCCCCTTTACTCCCACCTACTCCCTTTAAAATGAAGTAGTGTACAACAGATTCCTCTGAGGAATTCAGCACATTTGTGTTATCCACGCTAAAAAAAAAAGTTAAGAGCTATTTCCCAATAGTTTTATTTTAACTATTCAATAACATATGTGAAAGTATTCGGCCCCCTTGAACTTTTCAACCTTTTGCCACATTTCAGGCTTCAAACATAAAGATATAATTTTTTTATTTTATGTGAAGAATCACCAACAAGTGGGACACAATTGTGAAGTGGAACAAAATCTATTGGATTTTTGAAACTTTTTTAACTAATAAAAAAA